CCTCACTATAGCTCCTGTGGATCTTCAGTATACAGCTATCCTCACTCAAAGCGTCTATGTGTCCGGCAGTCGCAGACGTCACTCAAACCGTTAGGTCTCAATATGCAGACATCCTCACTCAAAGCGTCTATGTGTCCGGCACTATCCAACATCACTCAACTCGTGAGGTTTCAGTATGTAGCTATCCCCACGCAGCGCGTCTATGTGTCTGGCAAACTCAAAAACCAATCCATCTGTGAGGTTTCAGTATGCAGCTATCCTCACTCAACACGTCTATGTGTCCGGCAATCTCCAATACAAATCAACCTGTGAGGTTTCAGTATGTATCTTTCCTGACTCAAAGCGTCAATGTGTCCGGTACTATCCAACATCACTCAACTCGTGAGGTTTCAGTATGTAGCTATCCCCACGCAGCGCGTCTAGACTGTGTCTGGCAAACTCAACAACCAATCCATCTTTGAGGTGTCAGTATGCAGGTATCTTCACTCAACGCGTCTGGGTGTCCGGCAATCTCCAATACAAATCACCTGTGAGGTTCCAGTATGTGTCTTTCCTCACTCAAAGCGTCTATGTGTCCGGCACTATCCAACATCACTCAACTCGTGAGGTTTCAGTATGTAGCTATCCCCACGCAGCGCGTCTAGACTGTGTCTGGCAAACTCAACAACCAATCCATCTTTGAGGTGTCAGTATGCAGGTATCTTCACTCAACGCGTCTGGGTGTCCGGCAATCTCCAATACAAATCACCTGTGAGGTTCCGGTATGTGTCTTTCCTCACTCAAAGCGTCTGTGTCCGGCACTATCCAACATCGCTCAACTCGCGAGGTTTCAGTATGTAGCTATCCCCACTCAAGGCGTCTCTAGACTGTGTCTGGCAAACTCAACAACCAATCCATCTTTGAGGTGTCAGTATGCAGGTATCTTTACTCAACGCGTCTGGGTGTCCGGCAATCTCCAATACAAATCACCTGTGAGGTTCCAGTATGTGTCTTTCCTCACTCAAAGCGTCTCTGTGTCCGGCACTATCCAACATCACTCAACTCGTGAGGTTTCAGTATGTAGCTATCCCCACTCAAAGCGTCTATGTGTCTGGCAAACTCAAAAACCAATCCATCTGTGAGGTTTCAGTATGCAGCTCTCTTAACTCAACACGTCTAGAGTGTCCGGCAATCTCCAATACAAATCAACCTGTGAGGTTTAAGTATGTGTCTTTCCTCACTCAAAGCGTCTGTGTCCGGCACTATCCAACATCGCTCAACTCGCGAGGTTTCAGTATGTAGCTATCCCCACTCAAGGCGTCTGTGTCTGGCAAACTCCAAAACCAATCCATCTGTGAGGTTTCAGTATGCAGCTATCCTCACTCAACACGTCTAGGTGTCTCGCAATCTCCAATACAAATCACCTGTGAGGTTCAATATGTGTCTATCCTCATTCAACGCGCCTATGTGTCCGGCACTCCAACATCACCGTGGGGTTTGAGTATTCAGCTATCCCCACTCAACCCGTCTAAGTGTCTGGCAATCTCAAACCTCACTCAACCCTTGGGGTTTCAGTATGCAGCTANCCCCACTCAACCCGTCTAAGTGTCTGGCAATCTCAAACCTCACTCAATCCGTGGGGTTTCAGTATACAGCTATAATCACTCAACACGTCTATGTGTCCGGCAATCTCCTACATCACTCAACCTGTGAGGTTTCCGTAAGCAATCCTCACTCCACGCATCCATGCGTCACGCGTCTTCGGTAGCGCATACTATGGGGGCTATTTTTGGGGTGGCGTGTTTTACAGCGCTTTGCCAACAGCGCCAACCCACTAGATTTTTGTTTGGGGGCGGCGGCGGCTTGTTTTACAACGTCGTTGCCAAGCGACGAAAACCCGACCCCGATGGCGAACACCGGTGGGGGCGGCTTGTTTTACAACGTCGTTGCCAAGCGACGAAAACCCGACCCCGATGGCGAACACCGGGGGGGGGCGGCCAGGGTGGGGGGGGGTTCTTTGTTTCGTGTCGGGAGAAACGGTCGTTTCTACCAGTTTGTTTGGACAACAACCCTGCTGCCGCTACGTGTAGCTGTTGTCTCCGGCTGAGTTGTTCTTCCTCACAAAAAACAAAGGTAGAATATTGCGGGGATTTTGGGTCCCCAACCTCTCTGTGTGATCGGTGCTTGCACAACTCAGAGGTTGGCCAACGTTGTGGCTGCCTCCAAACCTGTGTGACAACCAAGAGGTGTGGCCTATTCCGCATTAGTAGCGCTTGTACAACCAAGACATCTGGCCAAGGTTGAGGCCTCCTCCAAAGCCCCCTCTACAACCTGCCCCTACCTTGTGGATGCTCACAACCTACCCACAATCTCCCCTCTGGCCACCCGTGTAGCAGTCTAGGGATTCCACCTAAAAAACGCACGCTTTCTTAATATCACACAACAAATCCATCTCCATCTATAGAAATAAGTCTGAGATAGATTAGCAATGAATCCATAGCGTGAGCGAAAGGCTACCTTTTCTTTTTTTTTCTCCCATCATTGGACTCTGTCTTCTGCCCCTCTGGCCCCTATCCTCCACTTCTACTAGCTAGACGACCCAACCGGGGTCACACAGGAGGGGGGGGCTGGACCCCCTCCTGCGGTTCCTGCCTGAGGTATTTTTATCGCGAGAAGGGTACAGCAGTCCCTATCCTCGCGACTTTCGAAGTCACTACCTGTATGTCTACGGTTTCCTAGACAGCATACAACAATATCTCCCCTGTGGGTTACAGGCTCAACAAGGCAGTTTGGTAGCCATCTTGTGTATCTATCTGAATGTCATGTTGGGAAGTTGTAGACGGAAGATTTAGGGGAACTCGGTTTGGGAAAACGCGTTTCAGAAAGTGACGGTTGAAAAATCGTGTTTTGCTGTCTCCCCGCTAGTGCCGGTTGGAACCGCCCCCCGTGCTCGTGATATTTTTTCGGACATCATTAATCCATCTCTTATCTATTCATTTCCGCACACACAGACCACGCGGCGGCGTGATTTGGCGTGATGCTGGCACGCGCGTTGACGTCCTGAAGCAAATGGCGCGCCTACAGCGTGGGAAGATTCCGCATGAGAGGCATGACCAAATCATGCAGATGATTACGACGGCTCTGCTGTTTGTTGTTGTTGTTGTTTCTCACATTAGCTCTAAAAAAAGAAAGATTGGGAGCCCGTGGTCTCAAAACCCGGCATACACGACCCCACGAAGAAACAGAAAAAATAGGGTACAAAAACCACTCGGAAGAGAAACAAAATGATAGAAAGAAAGACCAGCTACCGCACCAAACGAGAAAGAGCGTCGAGGAGACCGATCAAAATAAAATAAAAGGAGAACGGGGAACGCTTCCCACACCCGCCTACAACGCCGGAGGGTTCCGTGCCGGGTTCCCGCCGACCAGGCATCCCCCGCCCTGCACCACACCCCAGGGGGTGCAGCAAGACGGGGGGCGAAAAACAAACACATATATATTCCCACAAAAAAAATAAAAAATCGAAGGACAACGTACACCAGTACCAGGTACTACAGCAGTGCAGTATGCACCAGCGCATTAGTGTAGGGTAGGCACCGCACCAAAGAGGCAGCAGAGGTGGCAGGCAGCCAGCAAAGGAAAAAACAAAAATAACAAGGAGCTCGAGGTATCGTCCAAGATCATCGTAGAGAGGGCATGGAGAACAAGAAAGAAAGAAAGAAGAAAAGCACAAAGAGAGGCCGGAGGCAATACTAAGAGCATACAGCTTACGGCAGGGAAAAGGGAACACAGGGTGCGACAACATCATCAGTTGGGTACGTCGTTCGCCGCAAGCGCGGCCTTGGCCGCCCTACTCGCTTCTACAGCAGTGTCCGGTCGCCGTTTCTTCCCCCCCCCCGCCGCTTCCCCGATTCTCTTTCTCTTCGGGCCCGGGGCGGCCGTGCTCTCCGTCTCTGCTTCCTCCGCGCGCTGGCGCTGGCGCTTCGCGGATGCTTCCGCCTCCTGTCTGTGCCATTTCCTCATGAACCATGCCGCCCCGTCCTCGATCTTGTCGTACCACGCCTCCTGGTCCTTGGCGCTCTCTTTCCATCTCCCCCCCTCCTTCTCCTCTTTCATGCCAAACGCCACGAGGTCCTCTCCTAGGCGATACACCCAGTCGCTCTCCTGCCCGCCCCGGTATCCGGTACCCCCCGCCATCGCTCCCAGCAGCATGCGCTTGGGGAGGCGGTTGTCCTCCATGCGCATAACGAAGCCCGCAAAACACAGCCTCCGTTTGCGCACGGTGGCCTCGATGGTTTCCTCGCAGCCGGCCTGGATGAGGGCCTGGGCGTAGGACAGGGGTCGGTCTGAGCGCTTCCGCTTGCTCCAGCCGATACACCGTGTCAGGAACTGGCGGTGGGTCCCATTCAGCTTGGTGTAGTGCTCCGCTGCCAGGCTCCACGAGGCGCACCCGTATAGGAGGGTCTGCACCACTTCAGCCTGGAGTAGTCGGATCTTGAGCTGGCGGTTGGCCCGTTTCCTGTCGTACATCGAAGTGCTGTTCCGGCGGTAGCACTTCCATGCTCGGCAGATGCGGCTCGTGATCTCCCGGTCGACCTTCCCATCCGCGCAGATGGTACGTCCGAGGTACACAAACCGATCTGTCTGCTTGTACGTCTGGCCAGCGGCGCTGACCGCGAACGGGCGTTCCCCCAGCCCTTTCGGTAGCATGCACATGATCTCCGTCTTTGGCTCCGATACCATCAGTCCGAACAGGCCGGCCACGCGCACGATGATGGACATCATCTTTTCGAGGCTCTCCGGCGTGAGCGAGACGATGGCCGCGTCGTCAGCGTAGAGCATGTCCCACAGGGCCTCTGCGACCGTCACCATCATCGCCTTCTTCCCCGCCGACCTGCCCCTCTTGCCCGTGCACTCCACTCGTGTTGCGATCTTGATCATATCCGCCGTCACCTTGGGGTCCTTGTCGAACTCGGTCACTGCGACCATGCGCATCGCGGCAGAGAACAAGTTGAACAGCAGCGGGGCCAGGTTGCACCCCTGTCGGAGACCTTGGCCGACGTCAAACCATTCCGAGTACTGCCCGTCGTCCGTTCGAACCCGCGCCCTCATGCCCTCGTGGAAGTGGCGAATGACCGCCAGCATCTTCGGGGGCACGCCAAAGCGTCCGAGCACGTCCCACAGCAGATCTCGGTCCACCGAATCGTACGCCTTGGTGAGGTCGACGAAGCACGCGAACACCGCAGTACTCTTCTTCCTCGCGAGCTCATGGAGCCGCTGGATCGCGAACAGCATGTCGAGCGTCGACCGGTGTGGGCGGAAACCGCTCTGCTCCTCCGGGAGGATGCCCTCTCGCTCGCAGTAGTGGCTTAGGCGTGTTGCAACGACCTTAAGCAGCACCTTGCCGGCGTGTGCAACGAGAGAGATGCCCCGGTAGTTGCCGCACTCCATCGTGTCCCCCTTCTTGAACAGAACCTTGATGGTGGCGTCCTTCCACTGCTGCGGTACGTTCCCCGTCTGCCACACGTCCACGACGATGGCGTGGAATTCGCGGAGGAAGCCTCGGTCTCCATCCAGGAACAGCTTGATCAGCTCAGCCGGTAGGTCGTCCGGCCCGACGGCCTTCCTGTTGGCCATTCCCCGCACCGCCTCCTCAACCTCGAATAGAGACGGGATGTCGTCGAGCGGAACGCACGTGGGCCACTGCTTGACTCTGTCGGTCGCATGCAGGTCGATGGTCGGCGACTTGGTGTTAAGGAGCTTGTGGAACCACCGCGCCCACCGCTGGCGGGTAAGCGTGGGGTCCCGAAGGACCTTACCGTCCTCGTCCTTGATGTTCTGGGAGGTAAGTGGCCTCTTACCTTCGACGTCGATCATCTTCAGGTGCCTGTAGAAACCCGCCTGGTCCCCCTCACGGCTCTTCTTCTCGAGCTGCTCACATAGCCCTCGAAGAACATTTTCCAGTGCTCTCCACCTCGCGCTGCTGCGTTTCTTCCGCGCCGCCTTGAGCTTCGCCTTCAGGGTCGTCTCTAAGTCGCTGTTCTTTGTGGCCCCG